AATAAATTAGACGCCGGTGAAGAAAGTGGGGAGCTGGTAAAACTCTTAATTTGGTCTTCAAAAGTCAGTCGTGCCTTTGGTTTTTCCTCTCTATATTACAGGGACCATACAATATTTTCTGGGGGGGGGGGTTAAAGAACACACCTGAAAAGGAGGGAAATCTGAAAGAAGTTCACGAGGATAAAAAAATGTTTATGTACAAAATCTTTCTGAAAGTTAACTCACAAAGGAAAACTCAAGAGCAAAACCAAGAAAAGAATTAAATAACTCTAAAACAGTGTTTCTCAACCTTGTCAACTTGAAGATGTCTGGACTTCAACTCCCAGAATTCCCCAGCATAGCTGGCTGGGGAATTCTGGGAGTTGAAGTCCACAGGACTTAAAGTCGCCAAGGTTGAGAAACACTGTCCTAGCATGATTTTTCAGGATGCTCATAATATAAACCTTATCCCCAAAATAAGACTCAGTTAAGATCGTCAACCAGACGGATGCATTTAGTACTGTATTTCCCAGAAAACAAAACCACCGTAAAATACGCCCCAAGGCATCTTTTGGAGCAAAAATTAATATGAGATATATTAATAGAAGATTAATATAAGTCTTATTTTTGGGGAGTTGCGATATTAACCAACTGCAGCCCAGTTATTCTCGGTTCCTCTAAGAATGTTGTATTTCCAGTGCAACTTTGAATTCAAATAAATCTGTGCAAAAGTTCTCAGGGGCAGATGAATTAACAATATTGGAGAAGCACAATAATCCAGTTTTTTTGTACATTGACTCTAATCATAAGGATAAAATTATTTGTGTATTTTCAAGCTTGTCGGTTTCATAATTGTCTATTCTTTCCTGAAAAATTATGCAAATTAGGAGTGCATAAAATGCATTTCGATTGTAGATACTTTCTCTAACAACTTGTCCTTTATAAACACATGTGGCTTTGTTTAGAAGGCAGTGCAAAATTTGGAGAGGTTTTCAATCTATTTGTAGTCCTACTGATTCATTAAAAAAGAAGGCAGTCCTCAATTTATGACCATAATTAACCCCAAAATTTCTGTTGCTAAGTGAGACAATTGTTAAGAGAGGCAAAATTCTGAAATCATACATGGGGGAGTTGGGCAGATTAAGGAAAGCTAGAAAGTCCTGAGGATTGAGCAACTGAGTCTGCTGTAGAGAACAAATGAGTATAATATGCTGCACTGATAAAAGCACTTCTGCCTAGGGTAATTTAGGAAGATGAGTGGGATGGGAGATTAAATAATGATCATTAGTGCGAGAATAAGGTATCGCAAGGATAAAAGTGCTTCTCACAGCTATTTTATGCAATATGGGAGATGAATCCTCTCATTCCTCCACTGTTTCCAATTTCCCTTTGTAGGGCTGGGTGGAAAAGCAAGATATTTTGCTTTATAATGTAATTGCAAAGCTTTAAAAATATTGTTGGGTGAAATGAGGTATTCCCTTATTGAACCCAAAACAAAATTAGATAGCTAAGAAATAAAAATAAAACAAAATTGGAGTCTATTAAGGCCCATGAATGGTTCCAGAGATTGAAAGAAGAGTATTGAGTTGCCAGATGGTATCTGAGCCCTCGGCTTCCTGAGAGGGCCAGTGTAACATAATGGTTAAGGTGCTGGGCTAGAAACCAGGAGATTGTGAATTCTAGTCCTGTTTTGGGCATCTTTGGGGAATCTCAGACCAGTCTTTCTCTTTCTCAGCCCTAGGAAGTAGGCAATTACAAACCATCTCTGAAAATCATTTGCAAGGAAATGCATGGATTGTCCATGGAATTGCCAAGAGTCAAGATTGACCTGAAGGCACAGAAAGGAAATAGAAAGAACTGCTTCCCGGAGTCGCACTGTCATGCTCTGGGGCCATTTTGAAAAGTATCTGCTAAGCTCCATCTGAATTCTATGCAAGACGGGAAGAGGCTTTTGGGAATTTGCCAACTCTTACATGCATTCAGCTTCCCCTTTGTGATATATAGCTAGGGACTGGAAGATAACATTTTTTTTTTTTTACGAACAATGGTGTAAACCTGAACTAACCTGTGTTTTTTCCCCCCCTAGCTTTGGTTTAAACAATTAAACAGCCCTTTATCCAGGGTTACCGTTTTACAGGAAATGTGTGAAGAATAGAAGGGGCCCCAACGGTTGGATTTCTGAAAATACTAGGATAGTAGTATACTTCAGTGTCAGAAATCAATCTCTTGAATTTACCAGTAACTGCTAGAAATTCAGATTGTGTAAGCCTTGGAAAGGATTGATGTTTAATAAAAAGCAGCCTGTTTTTCACTTGCCATGGACCTAACTTCCTCTCCAGAACTGGCACAATGTAAAAAAATAAATAAATCACGGGAGTATTAATCACCCACTGTTTTCACACAGAAGTCACTTTGGTTAACTTCTGCAATTCTGTTGGTATCCAAATGTTTTGCTTATTTTTAATTTGCCAAGCCAAGCAGTGTGCGAAGAGCAAGACTGCTGGACTGAATTAAAGCACACTAAAACAAACCAGATAGGGAGATAATTTAACTCAGTGCCTGTCACTTCTTCTGCTCCTCCCTTGTGCTGTTTCCCAAATGCCTAAAAAAAACACCATGGTGGGGCGCTTTAGAATAGCAATTTCAACTGTAAGAGTCTTGCCCTTCCTCAAAATTGCTTGTCATCACCTCATAATGCCAACCCAAATGGGGGAGGCTCACTTTTTCCAATTGTTCATCTGCTATTTATCAGTGGCCTCCTTCCTTATGAACGCCACATATCGTAGGGATGATTCAAACACCTGTCAGTTCAGCTTCCATAGGATCAAACTTCAACCCTTCCCCCCAAGCACTAAAAAAAAAGGAAAGAAAAAAAATTGTCATGATGGCATGCATAGTTTATTAAATAAAAATAAATAAAAGCAACCACATTCATTTATTTAAATAATCAAAAGTCAATAAAATATGTTTAAAAAATGCAGATTGGTTATCTCACATAAGCTCAATATATTTTAGAGCTGTTATAAAGACAAATGCTATCCTTTTTCTCGTGACCTGACAAATGCATGCACGACAAAACCGCGCCGACAAAACCGTGGCGCTAAAACCACGACGTCATCAACACACCGACAACAGCGCACCGACAGAAGCACGATTTAAGTTAAGGTAAGGGTTAGGGTCAGGGTTAGGATTAGGATTAGGGTTAGGTTTAGAGCGCGCTTCTGTTGGCGCGCTGTTGTCGTCGCACTTCAGCGCTCATTTGTCGTCGCGGTTTAGAACTCACGGTTTTGTCACCGCGGTTTCATCGGGCGCGCTTTTGACGGTTACCCTTTTGTCAGTGAACCCCTTTTTCTATGAACAGTAAGGGTTGAGGTTAGGGCTCCCAATTGCATTGATATTTCATGCAATCCTTGAATTAGGAGGAGCACACAAATGCACAACTTTAACTTTTTTTTAAAAAGTGTGATAGCAGGTGATGACAATCTTGGCTACTTGCATGTTTTTCAAGTGGGAAAGCTGTTAAATGCACCTGATGGTTATAACTCACACAGCAAAAAAGTGGGGTGTACTTTGTGATCCTGTAAAACAGGTCATATAAAAAAGTTTGGAGATTACAAGATTGCCAAGGAGTACAGCATACACATTTTAACTTGGATTTGTAACTTGTAAGTTTGTTTCGCTTATTTATAAAGTGTTTTTGAAATAAGGAATTTTATTTTAATTGACTGCCAGTGTCTTTGGATCGTATGATTTGAATCCATAGCTTCACAAGAGGAAACTACTATACGTCCCACAATTGCCACCATATGCAATTCGTTCCATTATCGCATCATTATTATTTCAGTAAAACTTCTAACTCATGGGGCTAGTTATATTGAAATGTTTTGCATTCGTGACAACTTGGTGAGGTAAATCATTTTTTTCTCATTTTAAGATGTGTAAAAATATAAGATTATGGAATCTATCTGTAAAGTGCAGTTAAAGAAAATGAAGGGGAAGCTGCTTTTAGGTTTTAAATTTTATCCATTGAATCTATTTTTCCTATATGACTTGCATGGAGAAACTATGACCATCCAGGAGTTGTCAGAAATCATCAAAATTGTAAAATTATAAGTCTTATTATAAGGAATAATGGAATTTGGGACTCGAAAAATAGCCCAATTATGTACTTGCTAAACCAGTCCTTTAAAAAATTTCTACTGACATACTATTCTTTCTTTCTTTCTTTCTTTCGTTCTTTCGTTCTTTCGTTCTCTCTCTCTCTCTCTCTCTCTCTCACTCACTCACTCTCTCTCTCACTCTCTCTCTCTCTCTTTCTCTCTCTCTCTCTCTCACACACACACACAGATATTTCATTTTCAATAATCCCTCCTCTCAGATACAGGATTTTTCATGAGGAATAGCCCTGACTCATTCTTTTCTCAAAGGTCTAGACTATATTATTTTCCATTTGTAATCCTGTACTTTGCCAATATTTCCTCTTTCCTCTTTCTTGCCAAGAAAACGTTAGAAAAGAAAAAGACGAAATAGCTGCACTACCTTTTGAAGAATGGCTTTAGGAGCCATTTTTGTCAAGAGAGCCTCTATTCCTGGTAGGGATGGAAGGGGGTGGGGGGAAACCACGTCCTGCTCTTCATCCTTCCAATTTGGAGAGGGACAAAGAGCTGCTTTTGTCATTATACCCAACAGGTTCGTGTGGACAATCCGGATGAGGCCCATCTTTATGAGTCTGTGCCGGTGGTGCCTGGAGAGCCTGTGCTGCGTGACATGGTCCTGAGCCCTGACCAACGCTACCTCTATTTGCTCAGTCAGAGACAGGTGAGAGCCTAAGGCAAATGGGACAGGTAGCAGCTTCTGTTGTACCTTAGCTAGGAAGGAGAAGAATAAGCCACTGGTGGGAAATCGATTGACGACGGGTCGTCCTGAAGAAAGTCTGTCTATGTGGTCACTAAGAATAGACCTAACTCGATGGCACTTAATCAGGGATTTTGACTCTCCATGTATGCGGTATTGGATTTCAACTCCCATCAAACTCCACCAGGGTGGCATCTGGCAGGAAGAGAGAAATTGTAATACAGACCAACTAGGAACAACTGGATTGCCTGATCTGGGGGGGAAAGGGCTTTTATTTTTGTTCATTGATTGATTGATTGATTGTTGGCTGCCTGGCTAGCTGCCAGGTTTCATTCCAGGAGCAGAAGACAGAGAAGGCTTGCAAATAAGTCGTTTTCTTTAGAGAGATTCCTGAATGCCTTTTTGCACGGAGAGGCGGATTTTAAATCTCATCACTAATGATGCTGTCTAATAATAATGATATTATCAATATTATTGTTAGACAACATCATTAGTGGTAGGATTTCTGCTCTACCTTCCCATGCCCAAAAGACATTCTGGGTATCTATCTATGTGTTTTGCATATAGATATAATTGCATTTTTAGAAAATCCATATCTGTGTAAATAATGGCATTTTAAAAGTTATTTATTGCTCCCTTTTAAACTCCCCCCACCTCTTTCAGCAGATCTGTACTTACCTTAGAAGAGTTGGAGCTTTATTTCAGTACCTTTAAAAAAAAAATTTAATAGCTGCATTGCAACCCAAATGAGTTTAAGCTTTAGGGAGGTGTGTGCTTTACATCAGCAATAGAAATTGGGGCAAGATAACTGTGCATACATTTCAATGTGTTTAAAATGTGAAAATGAAGAGTGACTGTGAAGATTATTTCATTTTTCTAAGTGGGGTGGGAAAATCCTTTCCACACTGCTATGGCCAATTGAGGTCGGGAGCATAAGACAAGGTGCCCTGGGCAGGACTGAATGCACCAATGAGGTCTCTTCGCGATAGACCTGATGCCTATAAATGTAGGGAGTCGGGGATTCCGTGAACGTTGCGGTTTTCTTTACCGTGAATGAATTATTCAAATAGCAAAATGCAAAGAATGTATAAAACACAGATGCTGGATTTGAAGGAAGAAGGTTTGAGGGAGATGGGCAAATGTGAGACCGAGGGCTGCTGGGTATATGTGTATTTGTTACCTGCTTTCCTAGGATAACCAGATCTGTGCTGTAAAAATCTGGAGAAGTACTCAATGGCAGCAAAAAGGGAGATGGGGATACCGAAAACCCCTTACTCTTTCCTGCCGCATTTTTACCATGGTTCATACTTTCCGTGACCCGTCAAAACCGTGGTCCACTAAAGCGCGCTCGACGAAAGCGCGTACCTGACGTCATCAGCAGCGCGACGAAAAAAATTAAAAATAAATTAAATTAAAATTAAAATTAAATTAAAGCAAGCCGATTCACATAAAGGTAAGGGTTAGGGTTAGGGTTAGGGTGAGGGTTAGGTTTAGCGTTAGGTTAAGGGTTAGGTTTAGGGTTAGGGTTAGGTTAAGGTTTAGCGTTAGGTTTAGCGTTAGGTTAAGGGTTAGGTTTAGGGTTAGGGTTAGGTTAAGGTTTAGCGTTAGGTTTAGCGTTA